AGCTGATTGTCATATCAGGAGCTTGGTCCAGCCTCATTATTGTTGATGATCAGGGATGGTCATCAAGCAGATCAGCCAGCTCTGATTTTGATGATATAGTGAGTGTCTTCATGCACTCATGCTACCTCCAGATTCTCACAATAGATTCTGAAGTTTTCATAGAACTCCAGATTGAGAAATTATTCTATGGCCCTGCTGCTGAGGAACCTTCTGAGCCTGTGGTTGGAGATATAGGCATTGAATATGGACTTGGCATCCAAGAGAATAGTATTGGAGCTGAGGATGTGAGGGGGAGAGAGATGGCCTTGCTGAGGATGACAGAACTGGCTGGTCCTGCCCATGGGTCAGTTCTACTGTCTGGAGTACTTGGTTCTCAGAAAGGAGATCCAGGGGTTGCAGTTCATAGGCTGTACCAACTCAGAAAAGTGGATCCCAAAATGGTGGCCTCTCACTCATGCTCAAGCTGGCACTGTCTTCTGTCTTCTTGTTCTTCCTTACATTCTCACTGAATGGCTGCTCTGGCATACTCAGCAAGTTCTTCTCAAGCTTGCTCAGGGTCTGCCTAAGCTTGCTCTTCCTGTCATTGCTGCTGCTGCTGTACTGCTGTATTATAATCAAAGGGGATCTGAAGATCCTAGTCTGGGAATATCCAATGGATGATTCTGTCCTGGGCTGCCTCTCCTTATTGTCTGGTTGAGTCTTCATCATTTGACTGAGACTCAACCATTCTACCACTACCATGGTCAGAGTGGGCAAAGAGTGTTGGGCTTCCAGCTGGGATTGCATAGAGGAAGTCATGGAGGGAGTTTAAGATTGCACACTGGAGGCCTGGAGCCACCCCAGTGGCATCAAGAGAATCTCTAGTGTGGTCTCCAATCTCTGGCTTGATAGAGGTAGTGAAAGGGTCAGAAGAAGGTTCAGTATCAAAGAAATCATCAGATCTCTTTGTTCTTGTGGTTCAGAACTAGAAGGAGGTTCAGCAGGACCCACAGGTTTCTGAACTCAGTATTCCCAGTGTTGCTACTTCATCTTTCTGATCATCAAGGGGGATATCAGAGTCCTGTTTCCTTCTCCATATCTTGCGAGGTTGAGTCATTATTCCTAGCTTCAGATAGAGATCAGCACAGGGGTTGGAATCCTCAGCAAAGCTGTATGATGGTGAGAAGCCCTAAAAGTGTTTCTATGATCACAGCTAGAAGCCAGAAGAAGTCATCAGTAAGGTCTAGGATATTAGTTTGTGCAGATGGCATTCAGTTTCTCTCATACTATTGTGCATAGAGAAAGGGAAGCAACAGCTTCAAGCTAATTGTTAAGTTCAATTGACATGTGACCTGAACACATGATAAACAGATGCTGTATCACCTTCATACAGTCATGTCTGAGTTGACTATATGCATTTGTTTGGCTGTGTGTCTTAAAGCCAATATGAGTTGGCTCAAGGTAAAATGGTAGAATGTAAACTTTAGCTAGAAGCTGGGGTTATACTAGCAAGAGCTATCCTACTTATATACAGTTTGTCTATAGTGATATAAATACTACTACTTATTGTGTTCATCACAGTCATTATGCTCTTTGTCCTTGAGCATTATTACTACCTATGAAAGTCTTGTTGTGTGTCACTGGATGATGCTGTCATATTGAAAGGCAATGACTGACTGAGCTTGTGATGACTAAGCCAGTCCCACAGTCCTAAGCACTGGTCTAGGCACTCTGACTAAGTATAAATAGAGGTTAATATGAAAAAAAAAGGAGAAAATTATAACATGATGCCACTGATAGGACTGGTGCCATAAGTGTAACAGGTTTTGCTAACACTACAACTGCCAGAGTCTAACACTAGTTGATGATAAAGCAAGATGATAAAAATAATAGAGGTGAGATAGAGAGATTGATTGAGTATGCTCATCTATGTGAGGGGTAACAGGTGTAGTCACACTGAGAATCAAAGAGTTTAGTCAGTATATAGATTTTAGCTCAAGATTAGAGTATATCACTGTATACTACTGACTTAAATACTGTATAGAAACTTTTTGGCTGTCTCAACCAAGTCATTATCTCATGACAATATCACTGGTTCTATGTTGTATACTATGTGGCTTCTACAAGGTGGCTGAGAGTGATGCTATCAGAATTCATCAGAATTTCCTACATGTCAGTATATCAAATCTTAGCAGGGCATAATTTAGAGGCTAAAATCATGACAAACTGTGACTCATGCAATACTCACTATAGCAATAGTATTGTGAGCAGACAATAGTGTAGCTATACAGCTTAGAGATTATTGATATTGGACAATGAGTAGTAGACATGATAATGAGACAATAGTCATCTATAAAGCAAAGGTCTTTCTTGGATAGTATTTAAGACAGTAGTATACAATGAACCTTAGTCTTAAGCTAAGGTTAATTCATACTGATCAAAATCTTAGGCTCTCAGTATGACTATCACTCCAGTACTAACACTGGCAGACATTGTCTACCAACCTCTATATCTCATCCCACTTATTATCTTCTCTTATCTCCTTAGCATCATAATCTTGCTCTATTATCAGTAGTGTCAGACCCAGGCAGTTGCAGTACTAAGCATTATAGTTGTTTGATTCTCACCTGACATGTCAGATTTCTTAACATCTCCTCCTCTCTTCTCATATTCTTCTCATTCAGGAATGATGATGATTCTGTAAATGAGGCTGAGGCTCCTGCCTTGTCAGATGCAAATGGATTCTCTGGCATCAGAGAAGTTGGTCTAATACTCATTCTCACTATCATATCTATTATTTCTGGTTAGAGGGAGGAGAAATTCATCAGGCAGAAAGGATTGGTTCAGAGATGCTGACACACATGAAATGTATTTACAAATGTAATTTTGCAGATTCTGTAAATAGACCCACTTAGTTACAAATACAGCAACCTAAAATGAATACACAAATAACACATATAGTTAAGGCATCAGAGAATCAATCAGTCCTAGAGTACCTGGCCTAGACTTAGCACAGCACACTGTAGCTATTATGTGAGAGGTCTTAGTATTTACCATGCTTACAGTACATCTTTGAACCTTTGCAAATGTGAATTTGATACTAAATAAGTGCACTATTAACTATATATGTAGTACATTGATCTGTGATACATGATCCCTGTTTATCTGATAGTTTTTACAAGAAATACATTATCTAGGATATAGAAGTATGATATCCAAAATCCTTATAAAGGACTGGCTGAAGAGTGACACTTCCCTGAAGAATAATAATTAACCAAGATGAAACAGAGTAGCATAGCTTTACTATTAATTCTGTGAGACCAATCAAGAGATCTATAAGATAGGATATAGTGTACTAGACTATGCTAAGAAAATATGAGTGGCATGATGTGCTCCAGATCAGAGTGCTGATTAAAACTTCAGATGTTTATCACAGCAGATGATGCAGCATGTATGGAATCAGAGTCCAGACTATAATAATATTATATGTAGTAATTATCTTTCATATAGTAGCAGTATATAAAGAGGGTGGTAGTTACACATAGAGGAGAGCTTTTTGATCCCCCACAGTTATAGCATTAGCTTGAGAAGTAAATGTTCTGAACTAAAGAAACCAATTGAAGGCTTAGAGAAAGACAATATATTGAACTTAAATACAATTTTAAGTGATTTGAAATGCTTATCTTTCTACTTTAGAACACACAAAGAATCTTCAATGCTCAATCTACTCAGTGGTAGAGATTCAATAATAGCACAGAAAACTGCATGGTGCTTTCTGGAGCCAAATATCAAGTGAGCATTATTACTCTCAGATGAGTCATGTCACTTTTTATGAAAAACATAGTAAATTTGAAGAGCAAAGGTAGAAATCAGACAGCAGCCTATGATATAAATCATAATGAGATCTTCTGTTAAAAATTTCATGTAGTTATCTTAGGCTAAGAGCTATCAGAATAGAGCATGAAAAGTCTGAAACTAGATGTCAGATGATGAATAAATAATTACAAATATGAATATTTGCAGCTCTCAGGGTCCAACACAAACTGAAGAAAAAAGGAAAAAGAGAAGAAAAAGAGAATAAAGAGAAGAGAGAGAGATATGTTACTAGATCTGTTGAAACAGATGAGGCACTGAGAGCCAAAGAGTTTAGTCAGTTGTATTAAACCTTAACCTAAGATTAGGGTCACAGAATATAAACCACTGCCTTAAATACTGTGCTAGAAAATCTTGGCCCTACAGATGCATATGGTTCAGTTTATGCATGTCCAAAGCATATCCAAATAGCAATATTCCCTTGGTCCAGTGGGCATACCATTATTCATCTACTCTGAAGTCATTATGATGAGTTCTGCTTATATCACTGCTAGAATAACAAAGGCCATGATGATGCACAATCTTTCCATGCTGTTTTGGTGCTGCTAACAGCCACTATCCATATGCTAATGAGTAAGACACAGTAAGATGCAGTTCCTGGTGGTTTTGGGGAGGTTTCTACATGGCTGAGAGTGCTATGTGTCAGAATTTGTAAGCATCAGTGATAGGATAAGAGTCGTAATTTGGTGAAAAAAGAGGTTATATCCATGACATGGCACTGCTCCTTTCTTTTCTGCTTCCCTTAATGACAGCCCAGTATGGGCACCAGTTAATGATCAACATGTTCTGCCCACTCCTCAGCAGCATACCTCTCTAATGTCTCAATGCTTACTATGCTACCTCCAACACTCACTTTATTATCTCTGAGTAGCCCATCATAATCTATCCTGTGATATAGTAGTTGCTACCATTGTCTTCTGAATGGAATGACATAAATTCAGACATACATTTCTAACCTTCCAGTTATCTTCTACTGCTGTCCATCATTGTACTTTTCTTATTCTATCTGAATTCTCATAGATTCTCTGATCATAATGTCTGGACTATGACATGCCTCTATGATCATTCTCTTCTCCTAGTATCAGTCATGCCCTGACCCTCTTTTCACAGTGGATTTATTTCTGAAGGTTTCTGTTTTATAGGCAGCCATGTGCCTAAATGGGAATATTTACAACTGTTTGGGTTCCATCACAGGCTATAGAAAGGCTGAAGTTTCTTGAGGCTGGTGCAATCTGATCTTTGATGCCTATTGAACCACCCATTTCCCCTATATCACTGTAATCATTCTGGCTCCATGAAAAGATTATTGCTTCATGTCACTATAGGACAGAACTGCACTCAAAGAAAAAAGCTCTGAGCTTTTATCATTCCTCACTGGCTCAATCCCACCAGTTATATCTGTACTCAAAGATGATGAGCAAGCAGCTGGTAATCCACTTGTCCAGATTTGCATTGATGCATGTGTCACTTCTGCTTTAGAATGTGGCTCCCCAGGGCTTCCGTTCTTGGCTCTGGCATTACTCATTCATGGGTTAGCCCATGCAATGAGTAAAAGATATCATGGGGGCAATCCAGTATTGACTCGTTGTGATGTGAAGGAATTTTACAATTTTGGATATCAACCCGAGACAGAGTTTTTTGGTGGGATACTTGGCATAGTCTTTGAGAATGGTACTGTCAAAGACCAACAGCTTCCTGAGATTTCATATTTCACCCTCCTTTCTCCTGAGAAGAAGATATACAAGATTGGTATGTTTTGTGCTGAGTTAACACCTTACCGATTAACAAGAATTTATGCAGATATGGATGATGCAGCGACTTGGGATAGTAGAGCGGATGGAAAACTTGCCCCTTTTGATTTTGACAGGCTCGATGAGCGGAGCATGACCGTTCCAGATTTATTTGCTCAAACGTGTACTGCTGTGAACACTTCATATGTGCCTGTCAATATTTGTCCCCAATGGCATCGTCCACACCTTGTTGAAATCAGAAACTTGTATGCATTTCCTACCCAAGGCTGCATGTGTCGCTAGATCGATGGCTATATAGATCTCAGTGAACAGATGGCCGTTCCAGAGGCAGAATAGTGGCCAGAATTGGTGATTGTATGAGCCTTGGTTAAAACTAAATTGCCACGACTCGCTGTTGTATGTATGACATTTTCAACGAGGGAATTGCAAGGCTCAGACTCAGATATTGCAGATTGCGATTCGAAGAATTAGAAGACACATTCAAGTTTGGCCGAATCCTGGGTACGATGGATTTCTAGGCGAAAGTGCCACTGAAAAAAAAAACAGGTAGTTTGAGACTGGCTTCATTGAGAATAGCGAAGGAATAGCTTGAGAAGAAAAATTCAAATGATTTAGCCTCAATACCGACTGCTTGCCCTTCTTGTTCTGGCATTGTCCCTGTATAAAGATCGCCAGCCTGCCTCATTTTTCTCTCCGACTCTTTCAAGGGACGAGGAGCTCCAACTGCATATTTGCAAAAGGAGGCACTCAGTCCGGTAGATCCCGATAACTCTTCACTTTTTGACCATTTTTTCCCTTCACTCTTCATCCAGGTCCTGCTAATCTTCTCGGTTACAAATTCAATATTCCAATTATCGACTCCTCTCGGCCTCCATGGAGATGATTGTCCCCTCAATACTTTCCGGACACTCGGAACCGACTATTGTTAGGCACTCCTTTAATTTTGATTCACACTTTTATAGATACATTTTAATTTTTTAATTCTTGTCCATCATCACTTTGCGTGTTCGTGCTTGTCCTAGGAACGAATATAAAGAGCACCGGGAGGGAAAAACTGTCAGACCAGTCTTTTCGTTGACGATTGAGGTCTCGGTATCTCCCGCCTTAGCCTTCCTGGCGTTTGGCATTCGACGACGACCGCCACGTCAATCATTCAGTTCCGCTTTTCAATATTTCATTATAGCCGTTCCTGGCTGCGGCCGCCTCTTTCCTGAATCGAACCCTTCCGGACGACACCGAGTTTATTGCGAATCTTACTCACGGCGCCTGTTCGAAGGGATGATTGAGGTGGTAATTTTATTTCAAACGCAAACTACCACTTGCCAAGGACACCATGCGTTCTCGGTTGGTGTACAAACGCTAGTTACGATCAGTCATCCAATGCGTTGCCACATAATAGTTTCTCGTTAAACAAGTGACACCGGATGTCGTAGGTGGAAGCATTATTAGTTTGAGACCTAGCCACTAACTCAATAATGACAGCTCTCTTGTTTTCTCTTCAGAGATGGCATTTGTATGACTCACAGTGCGGTCGCCAAGAGAGGTGTCAGGGAAGAGTGCAACTGCAGATCGGATGCCGAAACTACAAATGTCAGGCGCAAATAAATTGTCCCTTCAGGACGGTGTTGGTTCTAGGGAATATCACGCACAGCCAGGTCTCGTCTCGCACCCCGTAGGGCCGTTTTCCTTGACCAAAGTATGCTGCGACCTGGAGAGTGCTAGTAACGATAAAACCACAGATTCAACGACATAGCCCATGATGGTGAAACAAGAGAAGGCTAATAACGTAGATGTGGGGTCAAAATAAATGGTCAAACAGGCAGAGCCCAGACCATGCGTGACGGTATCGATATTCAATGTAGAACTACGACGAGAAAGAAGGATGACGTACAAGTTCAATTGCGGAGTCTTTAGCTAAAACTTTCCTCTCCGGTAAAACGCTCAGCAGTGCGACGTGAATCTGAGGCGCCTGTGAGAATTCTTTATCGAAGTGCGGTTGACTGGGAGGAAAGTGTATAAATAATTAATGGTAGTGTCTCGTCATCTGCACGAAAATCAGGCAATACTTTATTATGCATCCGATTCAGAACAACACTCATCAAGTGAATCCCGCCGCAGTTGAGATTGCCATGGTCCGAATTCCCATTGCAGATCGACAGCAGGTACAACAGAGACCGAGACAAAAGTCAAAACCCCTCCGCCCATTCTGTAATCTCTCATCGAAGCGGGGGGGGAGGGGGGGGGGGGGGATGTCAATGCCAGGTTTTAACATTGAGCAGATCACAGACGGGAATACAGCGCGAGGCGAAACCGATCGAGTATGAGATGAGTACTCGGACGAAGGGATGAATGTCCATTTACAAAGTCCTCCGTCCTTGAAGCTCTTATGCATTATGTCCACAGATGCACGCGAGCTCCAATTGAAGATGCAGATGTGAATCGCTGATTTCAATTCTTGGGCGGGTCGTGCAGATAAGATGGCTCCTCGGAAAACGAGGTCCCGCTATTTGAGAGGCAGCGAGGGTATTATATTGATCGAAGGTACTAATGGCAGGTAGACTTACATCCATACCCATACTTCCATTGAAAGCGGAGTCATGAATAGGCTCCAGATGAGGGGGAGTAGGGGGGGAAAGGATAAAGTGTGCTGAATGATGGTGGATCATTATTGACTACAAGATATTGAGTGCCAGCTAATGACGTAGCCCGGAACTTGTGCGTCCACGCACCCAGGTCGGAAAAAATTAGCTTACAGATACCGACTCGGATGATGATCAGCCCGGAGAGTCGGACTTGGTGTTGTTACGACGGGTCAGAATCAGATAGGTAGCGCGTTTAGATCAAGAGCGTCCGTCATGTGCAAGACGTTAGCTCATAAGGCATACTGCGAAAGTTATGTAAACCGGGATGACATACTTTTCTTCTTCTCAAAGGAGTGCATGAGAGGGAAAAAAAAATTCTGTCACCCCCCTCAGCGTAGTTTGAGCGTGAGATACGACCGCTCCAGTTCAAGTGGCGCGAAATGACGTCATCAGCAAATTTGCTCTCACTCTCGTCCAGCTTATTTCTGGATAATCTTACTGGCAGCACCACTTTCCTCCTTCTACGCGATCAGGCTTCCCAGCCTCGACCCTGCATTCATAGACCACCGTAATAATTGTCGCCTTTCCTTCCGAGTGCTGCCCTTTTCCGATGCTTCTTTCGTCCTTATGCTCATGAACTTTAACCTTGCAGCCACAATCTGAATAACGCCACTGTTTTCCTTCCTCACCTCTTGATCCCAAGCCTGGTAGCGAACGGCTCGGGTGGGTCACAGAGCGAATCTTCCCCGATTGACGGGCGCCACTCTCTCCAATTAGCCACTGTCAGTAGGACTCCACCTTGCGCTTTAATTGACTCATCTTCATGGTCAAATTTCAATTTCACTGATTGGCTTCCTCCCACTTTTTGATGGAGATGATTTGCGGTGCAACGCCAGGTACTCGGAACCGAATGGTTGTCAGGCCCCATGCATATGTCATTGTCAATCACCTGAGGTTGTATCGTGTTCCTACGGGGAACAGGATACACCATATAGACTTCTCTTCGTTCAAAAGATCGCAGTCCACTGCTCCCATGGCGGGAAGGATAAGAACCGTATATCGGTGTTGATACTATCCCGGACAAGCACTGTCGTTACACAGAGAAATAAATGAGTAAGTATCGAACTAGCCAGGGACGCATAGCAGCCGGACTCCGAGTCGGACAGTGATGACAGACAAAACAAGCTAGTTCTTTAACCAAGCACCCGGTTTGATGTGTGACTCAATGACATTGATTGACGAAGAACGTGCGATCTCTCCAAATAAAACGCGAAAGAAGAAGAAAGACAAAACAAAACAATGCATAGGACCTCGGTGGTATGCACATCACTCAACCTGCGCGTATCAAAGGCTCCCTCATCGTACCCACGAGATCGATTCTCCTCTCACGCAAGTCGAGGCCTGTGTGGCAACTGCTCCTCATCATCATCACAGGACAAACTCAACGAAGACGTATACTGGAGTTTGTTTATGCGGCGTTTCTGGTAGGGATGGTATGAACGCACCGAAGATGCCATGGAGGACAACGATGAGGAGGATGCTGGGATGAGAGATGCTGTTCCAGGGTTAGTATGGTTTCGGTAGTGGCGGCGCATGTTGGAGTTGACGTTGAATTCCCTACCGCATCCGGGGAATGGACAACGAAATGCTACGAAAAATATAATGGAAACCGACTGAACGTGTAGAATGCAACTCACGGGTAGCACCGGTATGCGTGTTAACGTGTATCCTGAGGCTACTCGGCCTATTGAACGACTTGTTACAAGTCGTGCAAATGTGCTTCCTTTCCTCCCTGGTCAGGACGTCATCGTCCTCTTCGCTTAACGTGGGGGTTGACGCGCGACGTCGTGACGAGGACGACCGTAGTTGGTATCTGAAGGGGGTAGAGGGAGGAAGGGACCGTAGCACCTTGAGAGGGGCTATGTTCGTCGGCGGCGTGTGGCGAGCTTCAGAAGGGATCAATGTCGGTGGGGGCGGGCTATATAGCAGGTGCTCTGTAAGCCAGCGACTGGTTAGCTCATCATTAAAGATGACCAAGATGGAGAGACGCTTACCTGGAAACATTTCGTTTATACTGGGCAAGGAGATCATAGTAGGTGGCGGTGGGTGGAAAGGGGGAACACCAATCAGCCACAGTAGTGTCTCTTTTCTAGTCTTCGGCAACTATCCGCAGGGTGGATCTATATGTATTTTAAACATCTCCTTTCGTACCATCATTATACGTTCGACGTGAACGCTGGCGGGTACGCCGGATCTCTAGGCCAAGGGCCTATGGCGTCGGGTGAGAACCGCAGTCCGTGTCAATATAACGCAGGCGACTTTTCAGTAGACATCTAATAGAAAGTAAGCAAGACACAGGTAATGGAGAAAATATATACTGCCAAAAACCTACCAGTTATTAATCAACTTTGATGTAGTGCCTTGCTTAGTCACCCGCGCGGACCGAACACACCATGGAAAATGCAACCTGCAAGTTTTCCCAGTAAACCCGGATATATCTGTTCTCAGCCTGTTATACCCGCTAAACAATGCAGGAAAATATACCTAACGAACCAACCTGAAAAGAGTTACACAGACGTGAAAGAACTTCGAAGCTGATATGGATTTCCTAACTTCCAATCAACAGCGAGACAAAATATTCAATTTGTGAACTGCCATTGATACCGAATGCTATGAAAGCTGGTATTATTCCCGGGTCTGTCCTTTTACCTTCCAAAGGAGCAAGGTAGAAGATGTACGAGGGAAGTTAAGCAAAGATTTTCACGGGCTGAATGATATAACATGGAATAAGACCCAAAACGGCGTGATGTATGTCGTCATTTACCATGCTATGGTGCTGTCTGATGCTTTCATCGAAGAGTGAAGTTCGACTATTCTCGTTCAAAACCAAGTTCTGTTGGGCAGTTCAACGTCTAATCGAGACTTTTATTTATCCGAAAGACCCGGCGTGTCAGTTCAGGCGCAAGAATACGAGAGCGATCAGACAGAACCAAGGTAAAGAGCAAGCAAAATAGGGTTGCCGAAATACCCTAGGTTTTTTCTTTTAAGTTAATTACCACCAGATTTTGTAGGTAACTTACTCTTTACAGACATATGCTTTTTGGCTCCTCCACCTCTGTATCTTCATCAAAATGGGCCAAACCACATCTGTATATTAGCCCACATAACTGACTTTCAAGAGAGGGAGAGTTGAGAAATTTTTTTGCTTTGCCGAACTCAACCATGGTCCCCCCCTTGGGAGGTTTTTTGCGCGACTTGAATCCTATGGCAGACCGACGCGTAATCTATCTATCTATCTCTCTCGCTGAGCATACCACACATACGGTGCCTATCAATGCCGCTCTCCTCATGTCTGTCCTCATACCCTCGACAACGATACTGCATCCCAGCCAACTATGATGATGGGAACGGCGACAGCTACCACGCGTACTCCGATTGTTTGACTACACGCTTCCGGTAGGGATAAGACGAGCGCGGCGAGGACGACGAGGAAGGATGTCATTGGGGTGACGAGGAGGGAGCTAGACGCAAGACGCCGGGGTCGGAACGGTTGCGGTGGTTGGCGTCGCATGTTGGAGTCGGCACTGCTACCGCAGCTGGAAACGCTGTGAACATATGATCAAACACAATGCAACTTTACATGAAGGCGTGAAATGTAGCACCCGTATGCGTGTATCCGGAGCGTACCCACAGATATTGAGCCGCCTTTTCTGTCCTCCTTGAGGGGTGCAGAGGACTGCGGAGAGAAGGAGACAATGCGAAGGGTTTCAGGGAGGCAGAGGTGGGATCGTATCGAAGGGATGTCAACTATGGTCGGACATCGACATATGGCGATGTGCGGCTTCGGTGAAGCACCCCGGGTGGGTGGGGCGGAGGTGCTGTGCTCTGTTGTAAGCCATAAATTAGCTAAGCTTCAACGATAAACGAAGGTCTGCGAGAAATGCCTGGGTATATTTGGTGTATGCTTTGGGAAGAGACGTGTTGGTGGGTTGGTCAGGGAGGAAAAGGAAAAGGAAAAGGAAAAGAGCCAACGCCAATGGGTCATAGATCGGCAATGATCTGCAGTGCCGAGATGACCCCAACCGGGATGTACTTTCGGAACCAAATCTCTTCCTGGAGACGAATTCCTCTATTATGGCGGCGTTGTGGGTCCATCATCGACAGACGCGTTTCCCGCAAGGGCTTCATCTTCATTAATGGTTACGAGAAATGACGTCATGTATGACGCTTAGTGCTGAAACCGCAGTCGTAGCTAAAACAAAACACGATTAGCAAGAATTCCGCAAGTATCAGGGCAAAATCGCACTTCGAGAACGCTCAGCCTAATAAATGATGCCTACTTGCTTTCTCGCCTATGCAGGTATTTGCTCACGCATTTTGTCTCAATCGAGCACCATCACTCAGGGCACCATCACTCACCCCGTGATAGTCACACCAAACGTGTATCCCTTGATAGCAGATTGCTGTACAACAAATGCCAAGATCCCGTCTACTAACCTAATCGACAATAAGGGTGGCGCACCTATCCAGTTTCTTTCAACAAAAGCCCTAGTTCCCCACATGTCGTAACATCAACACAGGACCCACCCTATGGAATCCCTAACGCGCATCGGTCGGCGAAAATACGTCAGGTCAAGATCAAGGGCGCAATCACGATATCTGACCGTCCAGTCTATCCATTCATACCCGAAACGAAAGATCAGCCGTGCCAATCGTACATGGAAGAATACAAACAGCGATGCAGTCCTGTAGGCTGCCATTTGGCCCCATCTTCGACTTCGGCCACCACTTCCCGAGCACCGCTTTCTATTTTTGTAACATACAGCTGTTTTCTATGCGCAAGAAAATCTCCGCCCTGAGATAGAAAAAAAGGGACATCGAGAGGAACGCGAGTCACGTTGCCCTTCGACTCCCGTCATTTTCGCTCATTCCTTCCTTTACTTTTCACGGCTCTTAGGTTTGTCAGATGCCCCTTTCGTGTGTCTATCCTCCATCGTAGTACTTTCTTAGACAAAGTAATGTATAGCTTCATCCGATATTCCTGGCTTTTCATTCACAGTTCCTGTTCCTACATCACTTCCGACGTTCGAAGCATGCAGCCATGCATGCATACGAACATCGTTTGCGGAAATCCTCCATGAAGGTAGAGCAGAGCGTCCAGGCTTGCCTTGCTTGGGCGCGCCAACTATCCTTAATACGGCGACTCGTTCGAAATAAAGGTCCATCTCCTCATTCATTTTCATCTGGATCTGCCTCTCACCGTGGCCTTAGGATCTCCGTGTGCTTCACTATATGCCTTATACTTGCATACTCCAGTCCGTCTTCTTTCCTACCCTGCCGCAAGGATCTACTATCAATTCAATTCCCCATGTTTCATGTCAAATCTCTTTCGTTCCTCGTGACTCGTGATACAGCACGAAGTAACGAACCCGAGTGGCCAAGAACGGTCCCACTAGGTTACCAGGGGGACCTCGGATAGCTAGCCGCCTGCGGATCCATGATCTATTTTATCATTTCCTGTTGGGATCTTTTGATTTAGTCGTGATATGCTTCCTCATCTAACTGGGGCCCCAATTAGCTTTCTCTCTTTTGAAACGGCGAGGCTCGGGCTCTCATCTCAACCCCCGCCATTCGCGGACTGACGCATGTTCGATTTTTGCAATTTCTCCCGTGAATGGCGGATTACCGGAGGGGGCGGGGCGGGCAGCGCTTTCCATTATTGGTCCACATTTTCCCCGTGTCTCCGCCCAGAGGTACGGGATGTGAGCCTTCTTCAATCCGTCCGTGGCGTGAGGTCGTTATGATGAGAAAGAGAGACGAGCCTGTGAGCGGGGCGGCGTTTCAATGATATGCGATGCCTTTCACCGAAGAACCCGAAAGACGATGGAGGGCATAGAGTGCCAATGAACAAGGCCAAATGGGAGAATTGAAACATTCAGACAGTGCCATTGGCCCCCGACTTTCAAAGAGCCGACTACCTTCAATGGCCCTAGAAACAATTTTAACCAAGAAAGAGAACCACCAATTACTACGAAATCACACTATGCCAGGTTTCTGAATTTGGTATTGAACGTCGCTGTCGGTGGTGATAGGTTCACGGCTTGCTTTTGTTCATGATTAATGGATGTCATATTGAAAAGATTTTTGCCCCCGGTGGAAGCTCGACATGAATCAGGACTTTCTTCTTCCTTCTAAAAGCGCACCATCCAAAAGTCGCCCCAAGAGTACTGCCCGTCATACGAGTTGACCTCTGGCATACCCAAGTTATAGTCTCACCCCTTCAGAGATACCACCAGCATAAGCACTCCTTGGAATAGCTCTGAAACAGCCGTGCCACTGAGACAAGCTCGGAACTAAAATGAAGACGCCGATCGCAGAGGTGAGAGTAGCGGATGTCAGATCAGAGTTCCTCTCGCGCGGATGCAAATCCAGGATCAACGCGGATAGACATGTACCGGTCCGATTGTGGAGCCAGTTTCGTGGCCTTGCGCTTCAATTCATTACAGAAATAAAAAGCTCGAGCTATTTTTGTTCTGTGGAGATATCTCCCATCCATATGCTTAGGACACAGATATTCTAACATTCGGGCTGGAGTTATGTGACGCCCGGCGCTCAACTGCATTGTCGAGATCGAGAATGCATATGAAAGGTTAACGGCAAACGTCTTACTTTAACGCGCCTATCCTTGAATGAGGAACTTTCTTTGAATTAGTCTATCATCTAAAACGCTTCGAGGTTTAACATCCTGGGTCAAGAAAATGTCTGTGGCCATTCTACGGACACATAAGCCAACCCGTCGTCCCGTTTAACCGCGGAGTTCTACTATACACTTTCTTTGTCCCATCATCTCGAAAGTATACAGAAAGCTCCTGCCTCACCTACGTCTGGAAGCAAGAAGAAGAACGCCAGCCAAACCTGAACAGGACCTTCAAAAAATCAGAGGGGCCGTCTCAAAGTCCCGTCCACATTCACGCGTGATCGGATCAGGATCAGGATCAGGATCATTGATCTCTCGTCTAAAAATGCGTCGGGGGGTCTAACATCCCAGGTTTCAGTACGCGTCTCGCCGTTCAACTGACCCTCCGCGGAATCTAATTTCTTTGTCTCCCATGGGAAGTAAGAAGAAGAGAACGAATATGGATCGCTGAACAGACCTCCAAAAAAAAAGAAATTCAGACCGGTATCCTGGCTTTGGGTAGTAAAAGGTTACGGTTCAGCTCAAGTAAAGTGCTCGTATACCAAACTCGAATATAGGGGCAAAAGGGTCCAAAATAGATTATATAATCCTTTGTTTCCAAGACAAGACCATCCACACCAGGAATGCAGAAATTTGAGAGCGTCGAATTTTTCCCTGCCTATATGTAAAGATTCTTGGGTGAAAAAATAAGACTTAGTGATACTGGTAGCCATGTTAATGGTTCAAGAAGGCCTTGAATTGGCCCTGGAATGTAAGATATCGGATGTGTCTGCCGCAAACGAGTCCTGAAGACAAAGGTTCGGGAATGCTCTGAACGCTCCTATTTGGGGTAAAGTTTCAGCAGATCGTAAACCTAAACATTTCAGGCCTCTGAAATGTATGCCTTTGCCTGCTGAGCTCAGGCATGCTGAAACTAGGACTCCGAGCTCCGGGCCGACCTATTTTTTTGCGGGAAACCCCAAACCTTCCTTTGTGCTTTCCCTGTCACAGACACGGAAATAAGAATTTCAGAGCAGTATGGTGCCCACCACGACGAAATACGTACCCAAGTGGATGTGGATCTTTTCGGCATCGAATCAGTTTAGCTGGGAATGTTCAGTTTCGACGTGAGTAAAGGCGTCCCGTGATCCATTCGTTTGTTTCTTTGATTTGGGGCCCTATTTCACAGCTTGTCAGAACTTTTGGTGTCGGTCGGAATTTCAGTGAGGTCTATTCTCCTTCCAAAAACTTAGAAGTCAGGATGCCCTGAATTTCTAATAACCCCGTGTCATTCCTACTGTTGCGTCTTTCATGTTTCACACGTATGTTTCCAAGGCCCACGGTAATGATGATGATGGCCCTCCCGGTTAACGAGCCGTGGCGCCTGCCCTTGGATCAGCGTTGGGATCTCTGATTTAGTCGTGACAGGTGGAACGGAATCACAGTCTGTTGCAATGTTTCCGGCACAATAAATCATTCCAAGGACGGGATTTCGCTCTAATGGTCTAGGCTAGACCATTTGGGACCCTTGCCGACGTCGGTCTTGTAATCGAGGAGTACTAGTGTCGCTTTGTTTCAAATAAATACATAAAAAAGTTCCTCAGCCATGATGTAATTTCATTTTATCTTGTGTCGAAATTGAAATTAATTAAACACTACTCGCTTCGTCTACGCAATTTAACTGCCTCTTTTCTTTCTAGGAAAACGAGTCAAAGCGTGCCTTGGTATCGGAGCCGCAGCATCGTTGTTCCTAAGAGGGCCTTTCCGTTCTCCCCCCTCCCCCCTCCCGCCCCTCCGCGACTCGTACGAGTTTCAGAAATACAGACCTCAATCAATCAAGCACGGCTTGATGGGAACATATTGTGTCCGGATAGCGAGCCGCGGATCATAGCAGTGCGGAGAGACGAGATGACAACGTTTGCCTGCAAGTTTGGCCAGAATCAAAGTTTCATGGGCAAGCAAAGGTATTCCGGTCGTCGCGGAGAATCGAGCTCCGGGTATGGCGGGAGCTTTCTAGATAGCCGGCATTGAAGTTGAAGGAAGGAAATGAGTCATGAGAGGCATGGTGGGTGGACGGACTCCTCGGAGGTGAGGATACGTAGACGCAGATCGTGGGGGTGAGGTGCAGATCGCAGTGCTAGTAAAGAGACTCCTCGGACAGAGAGTAGATAATGATAATGATCACCGCCCGTGGTTAATCAGGAGATCTGCGCAGCCCTTGCTGCGATAATTTAATAAGCTCTGGCACTGACGTGGAGGGAAGAATCTTCCGTGTTTGGTAATCGGAAGTGGGTCCGCAGATCGTCGTTCCTGGTGACGTCACAAATTACCTCGGAGGCCGGGCGGACAGCAAAAGGGGGAAACGACTATTATATGGATCCTCCGCAGCAGTGTACCCGCCGAATATGATTGTGGCGCTGGCATGGGGTTACCTGCGAATATATATACACTGGCTCTAGTTGACCTCATGATGGATCCACATCCACAGTATTCAAACGCAGGGTTCAGGGTTCTTCTGGGCGGTGTCAAGGAGATGGGTGATTGTCATTGATGCCTATAAATCGGGGATACATCCAGATCGGGACGATCTCGGCCCTGCGGATAGTTGCCGATCTAGAAAACAGGCATCGCTATATAAACGGTCTGCTGATTGTCGTCTGTCCTTTGCTTCCTCACCCACCCGCACAATGAACACGACTGTCTCCCTACCCAGTATACACGAGATGTTCCCAGGTATGCGTCCCATGCTTCTGATGGCTGCTGATTAGCTAACCCGCTGGCCTCGCAGAGCACCTCTTGCGCGTCCCGCCCGAAGCGCGCTTGAAGGGGAGCGCCCCTCCGAGGCTGATATCTTCCCACGATACCCGATACTCGTTCGACCTGCTCCGCTCTGACCCTGCCTCGGCATCCCTTACGCACATCGCATCCTCCGCATCACTCCCATACGAACCGCAGCCGTTCCCACCGCCACGCCGCGAGTCCACACCCATCTCCAGCGAAGACGACGGCGACGGTGACGACACTGCCAAGGAAGGCAAGAAACACGTCTGCCCGACGTGTCACAAGCGCTTCAACCGGCCGAGCAGCCTCAGGATCCACATAAACACCCACACCGGTGCTACCCGTGAGTCTCCCCCTTTCAACCCTAACCCCAACTAACCTAATCACGACACCTGCTCTCTCAGCATTCCGGTGTCCATTCCCCGGCTGCGGTCGTGAATTCAACGTCAATTCCAACATGCGCCGTCACTACCGGAACCATACCAACCCCGGCGCAGCCTCTCTCTTCCCTGCTCCTTCCTCACAACTCGCCTCCTCTTCTTCTTCCTCCTCGTCCTCGTCCTCCGCTTCCTCCCATCCGAGTCAGAAACGCCGCATATCCAAATCCGAATACGTATGGCGGCACCCACCCTCGTCATCGAGCACCTCTTCAGACGACGAGGAAGACGAACACCAGTCGAGGTATCGTCCGAGGGAGGAGTATCCTTATGAGACCATAAGAGCGAGGTACGACGAGCGGGATCAGGATAGGCGCAGGATGAGCACTCTGAGAGATGATTCCTATGGTTATGGAGCTTCAGTGAGGTACTCTTACGCGAGAGGTCGTTGATCGTTTCTTTCCCTATTGCTTTCGCTCGCTCCCTCATTATACATCGGATACTTATTCATTCTGCAACTGTATCGTTTACGCAACTTTCATATTTCTTATATCATTGCCAGGTCTCGAGTGAGAACTGATAGCACCGCCGAGGTGGCTTAAGCTGACCATATTCCCCGGGACACTTAGTGATATTTTAGTCAGGCATTCTACATAGTTCTGTAGTAGCATAAAAAGTCTTTAGTAGTAAGGTATCGATTGCCTTGGACATTAGCTCTTTTCACACTTACTCAAGGACGGCAGGTATCAATGGGAGATTGGCGGAAAAGCAATGGAAGGATGACGGACATATCAAAAAGTACGCGCGTGTTCGCTAGGGTGCCTGACAACCAATCGCTTCCATTGGGGGGGGAGCCAATCACTGGAAATAAAAAAAAATCGGACCACCCCGCTAAAAGACACGAGCCTTTTCACAGACTCGGGAGGTTCCACGAGAAGCTCGTGGGTTTTTATGCCTGCCGGACGTGCTTTGGTTCTTCCATTTACGCTCTTCCCTAGTCTTGTGGCCCCTCGGTAGTTGTAGTAATAAAATGCCAGCCTTAACTTTTTGCTTTTGTATTACGAACAATGAATGAAGGGTACGTTGTTAATAACCCCCGTGATCCACCATCACGCGGGGGGCTCTATGCTTCGTTCCTGTGGTACTCCATTTTATGAAGGAATTTCTAGAACGGAACACCAACGTTATCTTTATGTGTCTCAGCTCATGCTCGTACACCACAATCATCGCGGGGGTTGTAAGGGGGATTTCCCAGTGCCACAATCATTAAGGTCCAGCGTCGGACGTTTTTTTTTTTGAGGCCAGTTCCAGTTTCGTAATTCCCAGTCGTGGGATTAGAACGCTTGAATTATCGTGGAACCCAATTCCGAGCTGTGGAACGAAGGAACGAAAGAATTCGAGCAGGAAAATGAGTCTGTTCTCGTTCTTGATCACTTTCTTGGCTTTCCGGTAGAGATGCCACCATAGTACTATGTCGAAGGACCTCGATGTACAGTGGGGGCATCCATAGACCCTGTATCGCGACGTAGAATGAGAACTAAATCAAAGATCCTCGCATCCTCATGCGTAGAATGTGACTCTGGGGTGAGCTGCCCGGAATCAATAGCCCCCGGCCCGGAGGGGGCCGGAAGTGAAAGGAAAATGGACTCAAGGCCAAAGCCACAAGCACCAGAATAATAAATCCCGAGGTCTGAGAGAATGCACCAAAATCTAGGACAGATCAATAATGTGATCCTTTTTTTTGGATCTTCCTTTCCAACTTCACATCAGAAAATTTTGTTTTGACTGCATAGAAGTTTGACTACTGTGCAAGAGAAAATGAGTATACATATGATGAGTTTTGCATATACAGTCAATTGGATAGTTCCCTCAACCCTAATACACCCATAGCCAGATAAGTGGATAGGCAATGACATTGTTATCAAAGTATGCCATTTCTCCATCATCACACTCAATTGGATCTCCTTTAACCCTAGTAGCTCATTGTCAGATCACAGTTGGTTCTGATCTCAACATAGACATTGCTTTTTATTAGCTTTAAGCATTGTTACATGCATGCCATGAACCTCTGACTCACAACACAACTTAAGGATTTTCACACAATGAAAGCATACTGAGCATTTTCCTTTCCCCCTAAATTCATTGCATCCTGCAGCATACTACCATTTCATTTCATATTTCAAACTATATTTTATTTACCATCTTATTTCCAATCTAATTCTGAAACAGTAGCAAAGAGATCATCTATTGGAATCCATCAGATCCTGATTCAGATTAGCTACTTAGTATATAAACTGTGTTCAAATATCAATTCAGTTCAGACCAAGAACTCTTTGACTCTCAAGTCAACACTATGGATCTCCAACTCTGCTCTCCATCCATCTCTCTCTCTCTCTATGCAGACTTCTATCTGCAAGTTCTCAGAGCTTCAGCTCAGAGGTGACATTTCTAATAGCTTCACCTAAGCTAATGCACATTCCACATCCCACTACATGCAACCTTCTCTCTTCTATTAGCACATTCCTAACAGTATATTCAAACTCAAATTCTCAAGTCAAATATTTTTCATTTTCACTATGTCAACCACCTTCACTGAACTCAATGCTACAGAGAAATCCTCCTGTTGCACCCCAATATATTCTATAGAAGACATCCCAGCCTTGGCCTCCAGAAAGTTTTCAGACCAATTTGAATCACAGTCCATTGGAGGTGTCTGCTCTTATAAAGAAACATATAACCATTCTGGCTTTATCCACTGTCAGTCTATTCAATCACTTGTATGTTTATATCCTAAAGATGAATCAGCTTTTTCTAATATGTTATAATTGAAATCAAATAGATCTTGATCTGACTCTCCTAGTCCTTTCATCAAAACTCTGAGTGGACAAGACCAAGAGGACCTATGATTTTCCATCCTTTAAATAATAACAATAGATTAATCCAGAGCCTGACAGCTGTAATGATGACTCTGACAGAGATCCTCACACTTCTACTCAAATTCTCAATGGTCTGCAAGATTATGAAAGGCCTTCCAATGAACCTGTTATGATTTTCCACCCCTGACCCCTATTTATGCTTAGTCAGAGTGCTAACACAGATGCTTAAGACCATGGGACATGGCTTAGTCATCACAACAGGCCGAGTTCATCATTGTCTTTTGACACAACAGCATGCCTGACAATGCACAATCATTCTTTTATATACAGTAGTGATACCCAAGGACAATAGGCATGAGGGACTCGACAATGCACAATTAGTAGTAGTACATTTAGAACAGAACTTGTACAGTATTTAAGAGGCTTGCTCTTGCTGGTAATCCCCAGCTTCAAGCTAAAGTTTATTCCATCTCATTCTACCCTTGAGCCAATCCTTCAGGCCTTGTGACACATCAATCAGAATATGCATCAGTGGATTCAGCTGATCACCCAAAGTGCAAGGTGACAACTGTCTATCATGTGTATCTGTTCATGTGATGCTTGAGTCTAACAATTAGCTCAAAGCTTCTTCTTCTCTTTCCTCATGCACTATAGTGTGGAGGAAACCAAATGCCCTCCAGTCACCCCATCAGACCCAAACTTCAATTGAGAGTTCTTTGAACTCCTCTCTTCTATCATTGGAACATTGTTATGATTATTGGTGATCATCCAGCTGTGCTGGGGATGCCACTCAATCACTGCTTGGGCAATCAGGCACTACAATGAGTTCCAACACATCTGACAGATTTTACAAAATGTAACCCCTGATCTCCCACTTCATGACATCCCAGATTCCTGACAAACATCCCATCAGCCCCTGACCAGCCTCTTACCTGAAGCCAGGCCTAGCAGCATGCATCAGGAGGGTGATCAAGAAGAAGAAGGACACAGGTACCCTCCTCTGACCCAGCAGAAACAGCAACAATTGCCTCACAGAGTTCAGGAACTCTTGGCAGCCTCCCACTGTCCCTGACCATGAGGATGAAGGCCTCCCAGAGGACCTTTTTCAGCAGTCTCCCTCCTCTGATTCTTTCAGAGCCTCTCGAACCTCTGGAATTGGTAACCATGCCAGAGATTCTCTCAGTCCTGCTCAGATGACTGCAAGATCCCACTACATGACACCTCAAAGCCAGCCTGACAGCCCCACCCTCTCCATCCACCATTCAGTCAGAACCAGCAGTAGGCTGAGGCAGTCTCTCTCAGACTGGCTTGATGATGAGCACCAGATCTGAGAAAACAGGAATGAAATCATCCACTGGCTCTTCCCTGCATGGGACCTCAATGTCCCATTCAGAAAAGAGCAAAGACAGTGAAACATTCCCCAGCCACCCTGTAGCAAGCTCAAGGAGTGCCTCATACTCCAGGGTCAGGCCAGGAGGGCTGCTGAGCATGATTGACAGCACAGAGAGCAGCAGCAAAATATTGAAAGGGACTGGCTGGCGAGGGCCAATATATCCAACTGATACAGGCTTTGACCAGAAGTCACATCAGTACTTGCACCAGTCCATGCTGACTGCTCCCTCTCAACCCCAGTCTTCAGGGAGCCAAGCACAACCAATTCCACTCCACACCCTCCAACCCCACAATATCCCCCTCCCCAAAGAACCCTCAGTGCTGACACCATGTTTGAGGACAATGAGTCTATCCTTAGACACTATGGACTATGAGTCTCTAGCACCACCCACATCTCTGCCTGTGCCCTCTGAGGGTTCCTTGGGAGTCAGGTGGTCAGGCAACTTCTCAACAATGGATACAAAAGAAATATTCAGCTCTATTGTGAGCAAGTGGAGGTGGTGAGAGTGACAGGAGGGAATTGGTATGACTGCAATATCAGAAGTCAACCTGCTTCCACCTATCTCAATGCCTCAGACTTTTCAGGCCCCACAGCTGGACCCAGTATCCAGCCAGAGCAGCAGATCAATGGCATGACTGCAAAAGGGTGTGGAGAATTTTTATGACCTGCCTGCCACTTTCCTCCATGAGGAGGAAGAGGATGACATGGATGAGGGGGAAGAAACTGAGAGCAGTAACCCACCTCACACTGGTGGAGAGCTTGCTTATGGGTTACAAGATGATACAGATGAAGAAGAACTGGAGCAGGCAATACAGGAAGCAAGAGTGCAGGAATACCAGGAGTTTTACCTGCAGAAGATGAACTTTTTATGGTGTGATGCTATCTGGGTAGCATCACAAATGGGACAATTATATTTGCATTCAATGACTAATGAAAGAACAGAGATCCTAAGGCATGCAGCCACTGATTATGCTGCAGCACAATACAACAAAAAACATTCTGAAGACTAGATTCAATGACCACCAGCTTATCAAATGCTGGAACCCATGCAACTAATGCCAAGGACACCTCTGGTCACCCTGAAGTGAGCTGTATACATGGCCCCATCCATCTAAAGTATATTTTTGTACTCAGCACCCTCATCCTGCTCCACAGCAACTTGGCTATCATGGAGCTGAGCCCCATCCAGCCATCCACTAACTTCATACCAAAATCTATGGACCAGCAAGAGAAGCAGAATGCTAGGGGCCCAGCCCCCACCTGATGAAGCAAGCAGAAGTGGCACAGGGAAGGAACCAATCAGGGATGATCCCAAGGCAGTATGGCTTGGGTT